TATTGGAAACGAATGACAAATGAATTTCATCTAGTGGAAACGTTTGGTACTGCACCCAAACAAAATCTTACTGAAAGCTAATTTTTGGAAATATCAACCTCAAATTTGGAACACAACTTTTTTAGGCTTTACGGGTTTGATTTTCTTGCAATTTTAAAGTAAAACATGTTTTCGAAAATATATTTAATGTAAAATTTTAAAATAGTATTTTTGTGAATTTTTCATAATAAACTGACTGTTTTTAAGTTTTACTTTTTTAAAAACTTTTTTTCACTTTTTTCCAATTCTTCTTAAAAAGAGACTTTTTCATTACTTCACCACTATTTTACTAGAGAATTATTTTTTTTCCACAACAAAGGGCAACTGCAGAAATTAATACAATCTACCAAATACTGTGTCTTTCGGTATTTACTTAAAGTAAAGTAAAGTAAAGTAAAGTAAAGTTCTTCTTTGAACTACCTTCTTATTCATAGTCATGATATATCAGATGATTTTACAAAATTATACATTAGATTGAAGACAATATTATACAGTAGATTAAACAGATTAGGCTCTTGTGACAAACTTGACAAACTTTCAACACAGACATCATGGTAAATATAAGGCAAACAAGTGGAAATTAACTGCTTGCTCTGGCAACATGGCAGAAATGTAATGGTAATATTTATTATGCCTTCAAATGTAATTTAGTTTTTTATCTATAATGTCAAATATTAAGATTTAAAGTATAAAATTATTACTATAAAATATTAATTTAAATAAAGAACTGAAATATAACAAGATGTAGTCCTTTTACAAATCATCTGACAGGGAAGAACGAAAACTTTCTTTGCTTTTTTTTTTTTTTTTTCCATACAGTATGATAGTCAAACACACGGATGGCAAACTTGCTTCATATCAAGAGCTTATTTTGAAGCCAAAACCCTTCTGAGACTGCTTGAGGCTTTCTGACATGTCAAGAACATCTATTTTCTCAGCAAATGTATTAATTTGTGCAGTGTAGATCTGGCTAATTTGGTATTATTTATTTGCTTAAAAGTTACATGTGTGTATACAGTATTTTTATTGTTTTGAGAGGCTCCAACAGTATGAATATGGGATATTTGAAAAATATGAATATAGGAAATATTATGGTTACTGATACTTTGGTTCCCTCACTTGGTAGACTTGTGAAATGCAAACATCCCATGAATAGGAAACATTACTTTGTGTCATATTTATGCTTTATGTTTTCCAAAGCCATCTCAAAAGAAGATAATTCCTTAAAAAAATTAGTAAAATCAATATGAACTCTGTAACATGAGGCAGAATCCACATTAAAAATACGAGATTACCCAAAACAATGTTTTAGCCTGAGAAGTGCGTAATCTTATAAAATGGAGGAAAACTGATGGCTAATTAATATTAAAAGTGATAATGAAGGGATTATTTTTCCAAGACGATAAGCAAATGGCTCTTAATTACAGGTGCTCTCTCGCTCCCTCACTTTACGCAGCCTTTGACTCAGCAGTGACAGAAATAACCCCTCATTAGCAGTTAATCATGTTAACCTGACTGAGTGTGCAGTGATGGGGAGCCAACTCGATTTTGCAACAAGAGATTGATTTCTTACAATTAAATGAACAGGTGCGACGCATGTAGAGTTTCAAAATTAGGAGTTCGGAACAATCTCTCAAGTTTATTTCAAACAGATTTCACTAAATAGCCACGTTTTCATTCTTTTCACATTCTCTAAAAATGAAAATGTGAACGAATAGGATGTGAGTGTAAAGTTTCACTTTTAGGTTTTCGTCAGAGCTTAGCACAAAGCAGATACAAAAATATACGATAATTAAAGGTGAAAGGTTCTCATAAAACTCATAGAAATATACACCACCATTCAAAGTTTGGGGTTTATTTCACGATTTTGAAAAAAGTGTCCTCACAACAAGACTGCATTTATTTGATTAAAAAAATACAGTAAAAACAGTAATGCTGTGAAATATTATTACAATTTAAAGGAAATGTTTGCTATTTTAAATATATTTTAGGATGCAATTAATTTTTGTGATGAAAAGCTGAATTTTAGCATAATTACTCCAGTTTTCAGTGTCACATGATCCTTCAGAAATCATTAACATTTCATATTATTATCAACATTGAAAACAGTTGTACTGCTTAATATTTTTGTGGAAACCAGGATACTTTTTTTTTCATGATTCTTCAATGAATAGAAACAGCTTTATTTAAAATATAAATCTTCTGTAACATTATAAATGCCACTTTTGATTAACGGTGTAGTTAATATAATGATGCTGTTACTTATAATAACTTATAATAACTAAGTCAAAGTTCTCCCATGGTTTCTTACCTGGACTTCTTCAACCATATAACATAATACCACTTCCAGAGATAGAAATGCAGACGTGAGAGTTCAGAGTTCTGCAATGGCATAGTAAATTTAGTCATTAGGCCAGATGAAAATATGAGATAATATGAGAGAACTCGCACCTAAAACCATCTTATCAATTAGCAGTCCTGTTCATTTCTTTCAACTTCAGTTTCCTAATGTACTACCCTAAAAAGAGTCTAATGAAAATATACAGTACCAATCAAAGATTAGACACATTTGACTGAATTAATGTTTTTCATTATCTTAAAACCTTTAGATCCCCTTATACAAACAAAATGCAATACAAAATTCTAGATTAAATGTGAAATGAAAATGATGAATTAAGATGCTTTCAAAAGTTCTTTAAAGAAAAAGCACACATATAGCACACGGAAATATACAACACACCTGTATGGAAACAGGCAAGCTGAATGAATGGCTACACTTAAAGAATCATAAAACACCTTTATCTTAGCGCTCTGAACAGTAGCTGAGTGATTGGATGTGCAGGTTCCAGGCTTCCTGCCATAAGTACTCTCATGTGAACACAAAACAGGCTGCTCTCAGGGTCCAGTGTCTCATTTAGCCAGACAAACCTGTGCAGTGTGCACACTTGCACTAATACAATGTACGTGTGGACATTAGGACTTCTGAGTGGAAATTATTGCAAATGCATTAAACCAGCTGTATGTATCCATAAACATATTGCCCTACAAATGCTCAGCAAAAACAGCGCCATCTTTCTATGGGAGACTGAATTACACATTGAGACTAGAACGGCACTTTTTTTTGTGATATTTGATGTAAAACCCCTCATTTTCACGGGTGGAGGCTATCGCTACATTAAAAAGCTGTTTCCACTGATTTTTGTTGTTGCTGTTGTTGAAACATGCCACTTTGCTCTGCAGTGGAACATTAACCAGTGAATAAACCGGTATGATAGTTAACGGCTAATGCAAACTAGTCGTTCTTGTGTAACATACATTTAACAACAACATTGTAAAACACGTCAAGAAGAGGAAATATGAGTGTGATCTGGTTGTAACAATGCTATAGAAGAAATTATTATTAGGACTAGCTTCAGTTTTTTGCATTCCATATACTTTGTAGGTTTTATTTTTTAATAAAAATTCCCAAAATGTACACAACATAAAATAAATGAATAAATAAATCACAATGTAAATTCGTGGTCACAGAATAAGAATATGTGAATAACTCAATTTTGAGAAAAATGTCAGATAGAACCTTATAATTCCAAGGAGACAATATTTTAAAATCTAATTTATACTTGTGATGGCAAAGCTGAATTTTTCAGGACTCTTAGAACATAATATACTATATAAAGAATATAAAAGTCATTTATTTGAAATATAATTTTTTTGCAATATTATAAATGTCATTGCTGTCACTTCTGATAAATGTAATACATCACTGACCCCAAAATTTTGAACTGTAGTGTATCTGCTCAAATACTATTAATTTAGTGAAGGATTCCATAACATATCTAACATCTTAACCAAAACAGACAGCAAAAAAATATATAATAATAATAATACAAAAATTACATGACAAATGCTTTGGGAAAAATGCTCATTTTTATTAGTTATGCATCCACAGAGGACTTTGATAAAGAGAAGTAAACTCTGATAAAGAAAAGTCGTTTCACCACAAACTGCATCTTTCTTGAATAAGGCTGGAGACAGAAGGTCACTTAAAACAACCACACTGTTGAAATGGTATCTGTATTTTTAATACTCCAAGCCAAACTCTAGTGTTCATGGAAGACATTTCTCCCACAACTCATCTTATAAGCAAACGTCCTCGAATGTACGATCTACTTTTACTGCCTGCCACAATTCACCCATAATCTGCTTAATACTATTTAAGCAATGCTTTTCAGTCTGTGTGGTATGATAAACAATTGACTGTAACTCTCAAGACTCCTGAACGATTATAGCAATGCTGGTTTATTGTGTTTCTTTAAGCTAGTCATCGGTCTTGGCCTCCATCTCCTCTGCATCATCGTCTCCATCCACCTCTGCATTCTCTCTCTCCAGCCGCTCTAACTGCCGAGCCAGTTCTGTCTCATCTGTGTCCGTTACCACTTTTGGCTGCAGGGATATCGAAACAAGGTCAATGTTATTCAATACAACAAGATTTATAGCAGCATACATAACTGAAATTTCAGTTAGCAATGTCTCCATGCCAGAAAAATGGGAAATAATGATAATTTCTCACCTCCATCTGAATGTTGAAGACGCCTCTCTTCTCTTCGATCTTCTCTTTAATGACAGCCATGGCCTGATTGAGCACAGAAAGGCCCTCTGTGCGCTCTAGCGTGGTTGTGGTCATAACATAGCGCGGAGGGGCAATCAAGTTGATCTGCAACAAAAGCAATGAAATAGTGAGCAAATCTGGATCACTAGGAGTGCCTACTAGATGGTTTCATCTGTTTTAAGAAAAAGTTTTCGAGAACCATTTTCACACAACAACAAGTTTATATTTAATAATTCTAAAAATGTTGTGTGGTGTAACAAGTAAAAAGTACATTCTTCCTTACATCTTAAAGACAAGCAAGCATGCACATCTTAATGTTTTTATTTTAAATGTTTTTAAATATACTTTTAAGGTTCTTAATCTTTAAAGGTTCATTTTTTTTATTTAAAAATAATATATATATATATATATATATATATATATATTGTAAAATTGTAATAAAACAGATTCCCTAATATTTTATATAGTATGAATTGAAATTAATTAAAGTTAATAAAGTTGAATTAAATTTCAATAATTTTTATTACTTTTAATTATTTGACATTTTTTAATTAATTTAAATTGTACAATTCTTTTATAAATATATCATTACATTTTTGGGGAGTTGCACAACATGACATTTTACAACTTGAACGAACCTTGCATTTTAAAAGTTGTCAAATTATTTAATTTGTTTATTTATTTATTTGAAGTCTTTTTAACCTTGACCACATGACTGACAAACATTTTCAATTACTAACAATATTTTTTTTAAATGCCTCACATTTTTAATAAATTTTATGCCACTTACGGTTTTCTTTTCAAGAATTTGATTCTTTTAATAAGGCTTTTTAATTAAGAAATAATAATAATTAAAAAACACAATCATCATAAAGTGTATTCAAGTTACTGGGTGTATGAACTGCTTTTTTAATGCATTTTTGAGTAAATGTATATAACCAGAACAAAAAAAATGGGGTACTTACCTTGATTGGCATACACTCTGTCGAACACTTCAGTCCAGCCCTCAAAGCATCTTTCACTGCATCGATGCCCTCATAGCCATAGCAGGCCACCTCAATGTCCGCTCTTATTTTAACAGCCTGTGGAGTGAGTCGTCTGTTGATGTTATCAATCAGAACGGCCCTTTCCTCCTCCGTCAAATCCAGACCATCTAAAATGGACGTGTCTCTGCCCAGAATGCAATTTACGCAATTGTGATAAAAAAACATTTTAGTCATTTTAGTGACAAGTCATTTCATAGTCAATACTAGACTTGTGCCGGTATTCGGTAATGCGATATATCACGGTAATGAATATGCACGATATTGTTATCGTGGCCACTTCTAAATACCGTGAATAATTATATATAACAAATTATTCAGAATTTTGAATGCATTTTAAGAATACTTTTCCCATCAACTGGTCAAAATGCACAACACCGCTGTATGCTGCCTGAAAGATGAGTGTGCACTCTGATGTAAACAAGCGGACATGAAGCACATGGCGGAACATGTGAGAGACGCTCTGGATGAAAGCGCACTTTCACTCTCTGACAGCAGATGGCGCTAACTGCAGAAATAATAATAATAATAATAATAATAATAATAACCGGCATATCCCTAGTCAATACTTGATTGATGAATGCATACTTACGACACAACCTGCTTAAAGATGTCATAGGCACCGTATCCAGGCCGCTTGTACTTCTCATCGAACACCCAGGCGGTTCGCTGGTACAGACTCTCTAGCTGCTCATCTTTGGTGTACTCTAGGACTTCAGCTACATGCCTCAAAATGCTGTAAACCTATAACAATATACACATATATATATATACACACACACACACAAACAACATCTATGAGACCATAGGTTTTAGAAATAGAGAGGCTGAATTCAGCTTGCTAAGTGGGATTGACTGGAGGGCAAAGATAGGATAACAATGGCTTTAAAACAGTGTCAGACTTCATTCTCATCTCTGTCAGTGAAAAAAGGCAAAAACATAGTCATGAAAAATGGCATTTGGGTTTAGAATGACAAAATGTAGTAATGCCTTTCAATAAGGTCTCATTACTTAACATTAGCAAAAGCATAAACTAGCAATGAGCAATACATCTGTTACAGTAATCTTTCTTAACATTAGTTAAGAAAAAATACAACTGTTCATTGTTAGTTTATATTAGCTCAGATCCATTCAATAATATTAACAGACACACGTTTTACCATGTTCTAGTGTAGGTCTGATGATAATTTACAAAAAGATTATCAGGAAGGTGTAACCAAGTTCATTAAATTCATTCACAATATGCACACACACATTCTTAAACTTATGCCTAATATGCTGAAAATGGCATTAGCATCAGTCGTTAAACATTTCTGTCATAACACAGCTGTCAAATATTAAAAGTTTAGCTACTTACGCTTACATAATAATTTTTGACAACTCAAGCTGAAATGTATGGATTTTGAGATGTGATCAGCTCTGGTCAAAGTGTATTCACCATTAAACAGACAAGTCATACTCACCGTTTTCGATTTTGTGAACTTGTCTTCGCATTTAACGGCCTCTTCAGGTGATACTCTTCTTTTGGATAAATCAATGTAGCCTGTGGAAATATGGATATCACAGGTTAAAAGGAGGAACGAATCGAGAAAAAAAGAAAAAAAAGAAACAAGTTTCAAACACAGCCCTGCCTTTCTCTTTATCCACACGAATCACCACCACACATTCGTTGCGTCCGATCCGGATGAGTTTGTTGATGGATCGGATTCGTCGTCTGGAGAGCTCGCTTAGCAGGATCATCCCCTCGATGTTGTTGTACTCCAGCAGACTCACATAGGCGCCCATCTCTGCTATCGATCTGACATTGACCATCACCACATCTTCCACCTCTGGAAACCTGTGCTGGTAGAATCTACAGCTGAGTCCTGGCATCTTGATCCTGGCTGAGGGAAACAGTCTAATGTGAGTCTAATGCTGTCTGTGTAGAACGCTCAATAGGCTTTGAGACAGCCAAAGAAAGGCTTGTCGCTCAGGTAACGTTAAACAGTTATTTTTATACAAAACGTCTGCAAAGTGTTAAGAATTGAGACACAAAAGCTGTCCATCAAACATACGGTAAACTATAAACTATAATTGATAAACAAATAGAGTAAAGGATACAGTTCAACAATTCAACACAAACCACACCACTTTCTGCCATTGCAACTAAACTCTCTTTCACTTAACTTACCGATATATAACGTTAGAAGAAATGTGTAACGTTACTGGAGTTTACTTAATGTCCTTTATTTGATGATGAGAATCCAAGTGCAAAGATACAAAATAAGAAGGCAAACTGAACAGCGGTTTCTCTGCTATCTATTTCATCAGCATGTTGAAAATCAGGCGGAAGAGGAAGTCATTCTTTTGTTCGTAGCGTGTTAAGATGCTCTGCACCGCCTTCTAGTGATTCGGAGGCACACTTACGAATGAAAGCGACATGCCAATGAATCACAAAATATCTGAGTTCGTGCATCTTTTGTTCTTTGTTCTTTGTCTATATTTATATTCATGTAATTTATATTATAAATAAATATATTTAATATATAAACATAACATATTTTCCTGAAATATATACATGCATGTGTGTGCATTTATATATAGCTACACATAATAAATAGGCTACACAGTACACACATATATTTTATGCAAACAAAAACTTTTATTTTGGATGCGATTAATCGTTTGACAGCACTAATATAGGCCTACACACACACACACACAGTCATGGCCAAAAGTTTTGGCAGTGACATAAATTTTGTGTTTTGCAAAGTTTGCTGCTTAAGCTGTTGTGGTGTTCATTCACATTGTTTCTAGATTATTGTGTAGAGTGATCAGATTAATTTTAAATAATTGCTAAAAGCTTTATTGGCCAAAAAGTGAACTTTTCACAAAAAAAACAAATGTCACTGTTTTTTGATCCTGACACAAAATGACCAGCTAACATTAATTGACTAATCATATCAGCAGCACATGTGAAAGTGTGAATGAGTACTAGTCAGGTTGATCACTATCATACTAATTAGATTGATGGAGGGAAGAAGCTCTTCCAATCATTGTGTTCTTGTTAGCAATGGTTACCCCCAAAAACATCAAGAACAGACTGACAGACTTTTATTTTTTTATGATCTTTCAAGTTATTTTCTCTGATGAAGCTCCCTTCCGACTGTTTGGGACATCTGGAAAACCGATTGTTACATTGAAAAATTACATTGAAATTTTGGATCCGTGGCCAGGCAACTCCCCGGATCTCAATCCCATAGAG